ACAGAGAGAACAAAAAGGATATTAGAAACAGTAGAGATGAAAATCATTAGAAAAATCAATTGTAAATGTAATGGGACAAAGTCAAGTATACAAAAATTTTCAATAAAGATGTAGAGTTGCTTGAGTACATGTCTTCATCGATTTTTTTCCTGTTCGGTAAAGGAATCGTGTTAAGACTGGTCTTTCCTAAAGATCTTAATATTGTGTAGCGATTATGAAGCAATTAAAATGCCAATATCTTCTATATTAAATGCCAAACTAGCAATAAAACAGTCCTAAATTAAAATTCTAGGGATTTAACAAATACCGGTAAGTGAGAATGGAAAAGAGAACAAATATCTTTGAATATATCTTTGTCGTATATATAATATAGTCTTTGTCGGCACAAAATAACGATTCTTAGAAAACCTAATTAAATTTGAGAAAACCCACACAAAACATCCAAAAACCTATACACATTATTTTCCTTTAAAAACTCAATTCTGCAAAAATAATCTCACAGAGCCCACCGACAACATTGTAGTGACGAACTGCAATTCTTATTAGCCGGTTTCAATACGTACAGGAAAAGGTATCCGAGCGGAAATTTAACAAGTGCCTGAATGCAAATAAACACCAAATTTTAGGAAAATAGAAGTAATGTTGTCGGCTGTACAGGTATAAAAAGGTGCTTTTTCGTACTGTAATATAATATTTTAGCTTTACCTGCTTTGTTTTGGTGTAAATACCACGTGCTCGAGACGACGTTATCGACGAAAACTTTCCAATTTTAGATCTTATCAATTCTAGAAACTCTCCGAGCTTTCAAAAATAATTTTCGTTGGAAATAGATGGATTTAGTAGAAGTGAAATTTTGTTTAAATAATATTTAAAACCTACAATATTATACTCTAAGTGAAGGAGGGAAAATACAGAAATATAAAACCCTGAAAAAAATTCTAAAAACAAGTTAAAAATTGAGTTTTCTAAACAGTTCCTAGATAAAAAGGCTGTTGGTATTGTGTTTGGCTGTGATTTAATAGTTGTATATTTCTTTTAAAAATAGTAAGGACCATCATCATCATCATCTTGGTACTACAGCCCTTAGAGGGCCTCGACCTTCTCAAGCTTTCTACGCCATTCTGTTCTGTTCCTTGCTTGCATTTTCCAGTTGCCGACTCAGATCTTCTCGGCATCTTGTGTTACCCTGTCCATCCACCTCAGCTTTGGTCTAACCCGTCTTCTCAGAATCTTTTTTATCATGTTCGATTCAGGGGCCCGGGCTACATGTTCTGCCCACTGCAGGCAGTTTCGCTTAATTATAGTGGTAATATCTTTACCACCAAACGTATGCTTGTAGATATTCTGTCAAGTTATATCTATGCCTCCATATTCCGTTCTCACAGACCGCTCCGAATATCTTGCGTAGCACCTTTCTTTCAAAAATCGATAGAGCGAATTCATCTGATTTAGTTAGCGTCCATGCCCCTGATATGCCATATGTCATATGAGAACTTGGACTATCAGTGTTCTAAAGTACTCTGATAGACCATGAAAACACCAAGTTTTTGTATCTATCTATTGTTGTTGTAGTTTTTCGTTGTTGCATGGTCCTAAATGCCTCGTTCTTCTTATCTGTTATTTTTTTGCAGTCTTGGTCGTTTCCTTCTTGGGTTCGGGATATTCCCAATGTGCTTTCGGCTGCTAATTTTAGAGCCTCCTTGTTCGACATTTCCGTGCTTGACTGGTCGACTGCATAGGTGTGTTCTAGGGTTTCTTTTATATGTGACTGGAACTGTTTCTCTTTGTTTTCATTATTTAGCATATTTAAATTATATTTTACTTGTCTCGTGCCTTTTTCTTCCTTGGCATTGGAAATTCTTTATTGTAACTTGGCCCCTACCATGAAGAGGTCTGAGTCAATATTTGCGACTCTTTAACTTCTGACGTTCATTAAGTTTGTAAAGTGCCTTCTGTCAATTATAACATGGTCAATTTGATTTGTGGAGTTTCCATTTGGTGATATCCAAGTTGCTTTATGGATATTCTTATGATTAAAACATGTACTTCCCACAATTAAATCTTTGGAAGCTGCCGTACTAAAAAGTCTTAAACCATTGTCATTATTAACGTCGTGAAGGCTGTGTTTACCTATATCTCTTTTCCTATCTGGGCGTTCATGTCTCCAATGATTATTTTAATGTCGTTTTTGGCACAGTTATCGTATGCTTTTTCGAGGTCTTCGTAGAATAGATCTTTAATTTCTTCGTATTTTTCCTCGGTTGGCGCGTGCACGTTGATGCACATATGTTGAAAAATTTTCCTTTTATTCAAAGGATGCATAACCGATTGTTTATGGCTTTAAAACCAATAATAAAATTTTTTATTTTCTTTGATATTAGGAGCGCGGTTCCGAATTCATGTTGGATCGAGTTCTAGCTGTAATATATATAATGTCCTTTTTTTTTGTCTGCATAATTCCGGTTTCTGTTCATCTCATCTCTTGAATAACTGCAATGTCTATTCTATATTTAAGGAGTTGATCTTGCAGCAGCTTCAGTCCCGCTAATCTATACATCGTTCTTACATTCCAAGTACTGATCTTTAAATCATTAATAGTAAAGACCCATGAAGGTAAATATCCAATGAAAACTGTTTTAACATTTTTAACATTTTAAGCACGAACAAACTTAAAATGAGAAAGGTACTTTGTGCAAGAGAACTGAAATTAGACTTGAGAGTTAGGCTGGTAAGGTGTTATATTTTCTCGACTCTGCTTTACGGAATAGAAGCATGGACACTTAACGCGTCGACTACTAAATAGTTGGAAGCATTTGAACGGTGGGTGTATAGAAGAATCCTAAAGATACATGGACCGAGCATGTAACAACCAACGAAGTCATGAGAAGAGTCAACAAAAGATTGGAAATATTGGAAACCATCAAGATACGAAAGCTGCAATACCCAAGTTTAGGAAGGAGAAGAATCTCAAGATTGCGTTACTTGAGGGAATGGAACGGATGCACATGAATCGAACTATGATAATTGCCAACCTCTGTCGCGGAGATTGTACGTAAAGAAGACGACCATAATATGCTTTTGTCTACATAATTGCTACTCATTTCCTTGGTGGCAGTCTTATTTCCTAAGATTTCTTTTAGACATCGCCTCAAAGATGTTGTTTATCCATGTTGTTACTACCCTTCGTCGTTTTTGCTTTTCTGAGAGGACCAGCCAATACTTTTTAAAGATTCTTCGTGATTTCAGTCGTCTGGCATGTCCGTACCGTACAAGTTGCTTGTTATATTCTTTTGTACTCTTCCTTTGTCTCCTAATATCGTCATTTCTTATGTGTTCTAAGCGAGATTCTTTTGTAGTTTTCCTCCAAAAGTCCATTTCAGTACTTATTAGTTTTTCATCTATTCTAAACCTTCCTTATTGTGTGCAATAACAATTTAATCATCTATGTAATGTAATGTTTAGTATATTCTCTTACATTTCTGTTTCCATTATGTCAGTACCTCATCAATGTATATATTTATTAATACTTAATATATACAGCATCCCTTGTCACCTGGAAGCCTTCTAATATTTTATCTTTCAATTTAATTTTAGAGTTTCTGTTTCTGATAAAATTGTTAGATTATTGATTTTGTTGGTTAGGACCTTTGTGGAAGGCTTAAGCGCGATGTTCAGTAGATTTTTTATACCTCTATAATTGTTGGGGTGTTCTTTATCACCTTTCTTGAACATTGGTATCATTTTGCTGTTTCTCCACACGTCTAGTATCTTGCGCAGCAATATTAGTTTTTGTATAAGTTTTGCCATCTCTAGGGTTACACAGCTTCCTTCGTGTTTTAGAAGCTTGTAAGTTATTCCGTCTAGTCCTGGTGACTTTCTATTTTTAAGTGAATTTATGGCCATCTCTACTTTCTGAAAACTGATTTCTATTTCAAGTCTTAATTCAGGTATGTTATTATGTTGATTATTATTTTCCTTTTCTTTAAACACTTCTGTTAGGTATCTTTCCCATTCGTTTGCTGGTTTGTTATTGTATTCCTTTAATTCTACCATTTATTTTCCTTGGTTTCTTATGAATCTCCATATGTACCGTAGAAGTTGCTTTTCACTCTTTTTGTAAACTGTTTTCAGTGTTCATTTTTGTTCTTCTTTCCAACTTCTTTGTTTCATTTCGTATTCTTCTATAAGTATCTTAGGATTCTGGAGTATTTGATATTTTGTACTTCATGTAGTCCTCTTGGTTCTCTTTACATTTCTCTTTTATTTCTTTTCTGAACCATTGTGTCTTGTTGTTATTTCTTTTGTTCAGTAAGACTGTGCGTTTTCCTAGTGCTTCTGTTGCTGCTTATTCAATGTTATTTTTAATTTTCTCCCAGCTAGCGTTTATATCTTCGATGTCGTCTATTTGTTTCAGCTGTATCTCCTCTGCTAGCCTCCTTTTGTACATTTCTCTTGTAGAGTCGTTTCACAGTGGTTATACATTAAATTTTTCCTCGATGATTGCCTGTAGAAAATGTTGTGCTGTTATTTTCATTCTTATTTTTGCTACTACTAGTTTGTGTTCACGCTCTGCGTCTGCTGAATTTTAAGTTAGGATCTAGAATCCGCTTTATCAAAATTTAAAAGAATTTGAATTGAAAAGAATTAAATTTACTATCAAATGAGAGTAAATTTATTTGTATTTTATTTTTTATTTATATTTATATTAATGTTTTAATATTAATTTAATATTTCGTCTGAATTTGTCATAAATAAAACAATGTATGCTTCGTTAATACATTTATAGATGGCGTTAGGAGCAAACAGAATAATTTAATGAATTTGTTTACGACATAATTGAAGGTTTTTATATAGTAGGTATATTAACGAATTGATTTATTATTTAGTTCTTCTTTTTTGTTACAGTGAAAATATCCAGCATCAAGACGACTCCCCTACCAGGAGAAGATACCACCGGGTACGGCGTGGGGGGTGCGTGCGGTCTGTTCTCCCACATGAACATGGCTGGATACCTGAAAACACCCACCGGCCCCCACGGCCACTTCCCGTCGCATCCCAGCCTCGGTTCGGGGCTGACCGGGATGTCCATGCCGGGATTGGGGCCCTTCGGGCTCACTCATCCCTTAGAACCGGTGCCGTTTCCTCAAGGTATTTATTTGGGATTTAATAGTTTTATATATCCGTTTGAAACTGATTTAAATTTAGTTTGCGTTTTCTATAAACATCGTAGACGTTTACAGTTTGTGATTTTAAAAACTAGTGGGACATTTCTATGAACATTTGATAAGATATGAGAAATTTTAGCCAAAGATTTAAAACCAGGATTTTTATTCTGTAGATTAAATCCATGAGTCGAATTTAAATTTTCCTACGTTTGCGAATATGTCAACTTTACCTGTGTTAAATAATCATTTCGTTTGAGACGTGTCACGACAAATTACATAATTTTAAGAGTCCTGAATAGTTCTTCTCATCTTTTTTTTTATTAAAATTATATTTATTTATAATGTACATCTACATAAATATTGTCAAATGCGAAAGAAATACAAGTAAACAATAAAATCTGAAAAACGTACTGCTTATGCTAACATAATACACAAATCCACTAACAAAATATATTGTAATTGTTTTGTTTTTATTATTTTTATGTTTTATTGTTAATAAATATAATTTTAATTGAATTGAAGTGAATTTTAAAAGTATGTAGTTCGTTGTTAATATACTATACCTCGGCTAGCTCAATTATTTGTTCTAAGCAATCTGTCACTGTGTGACGTCAACTCTGTAGTCTCCTGGTAGAGTTCAAAAAGAAATTAAACCAAAATTTACTTTATATTTTTGATAAATTAACCCAAATGAAGCACGTTATTTATTAATATTGAACAAATTTAATATAAACAATAAAATTCGTCTGCAACTTGGGTTGCCTTTAAAAATTTACAAAAATAGGAATCGTGTAAACCTTAATGTGTCGTGAAAATAGAATTTGATTACAAAATGTGGAAACTCTCTACAATTACCTTAAATCTAAATGACTATTGCAACTTTATAAAGTGTTTAAATGAAATATAAAGAAAAGAAAACTGAACACTTTATGCCGCTGACTTATAACTAGCATTAAAATATAATCAAAATTTCAAATGATCCCCAAAATTATTATCCAAACTCACTTTCAAACAGTTCTGATTTTTTTTTTAAAGAAAACTAACTACTCGCAAAATAATCGGTGATACTGGAATATCTATCCTCTCTTCGGAAGTTAAAGGTACGTACTATTATATTTTTATTTTAATGATCATTAATATTTCAATTTTTAAGGCCTATCGCAATTAGTTAATTCATGAATTTTTACTTTTTCAATCTAAATGACATTTCTGCACTCCAATTATAATTTATAAGTCAAAATTTCTCTTACTCTCTGGAACAAATTCTGGATATCTCTATTTGAAAATGTGGAAAAACTAAATTATAATTAAACGATTTTAAAGCACTCCCGGACTATTCCACCTTTTTAGGGCTCTTCCTCCAAAATTTTCGTCGCCTCCAACAACCTATTCTTCCTTGTTAACCGCCATAGCTAGCACCAACCACCAAAATTATTCGTTGCTAACAGCAACCCCCTTTCTTTTTTCATTCCGTCTTCTATTTTATTCAACCATAAAACTGTCCTGTTTTGACATATTTGTCAAACCACATTAATTTCTCATAAGCACTTTAATCACATCTAATTTGGGAATTTATAAAAAAAAATTCAGATATAAAACTTAACAATACTAATATAATTTATTCTTTTCATCTCCACATCATTGTAATTTATTTAACAAAACCCCTATTAATTTAGTTCCCACAGACTTTTGACAGTTTATTTTTCTGACGTTTATTTTTGAAATTTCTATGTTTAAATAATTTTTTAAGAATTCTTCTTTTTTATTCCTTTTAAGGTTTAGACGATTCACCTATACACTAGGCAACTATACTATTCAGAAATTATTAACACTATACCAGGTAAGTCAAAATTAATTTATTTAGCAATTTACTAATCTTTTCTCCCTTTTATTTCAGAGTCGACCCCACATTGTGATGGCTTCATGAAATTCATGAACAACAAACTCATATAAAAATCCCTTTAAGTTATATCCTCTTTGACCTATTGAAATCATTTCAACTTCCCCCCAATTTGGATTTTGTTCAGTGCTAACTATCAGCACTTACTAAATCTAAATTCTTACCGATAAACTTAAACATTTTATTAATATTAACATAACAATAAACTGACTTTTATTAATAAGCATATCTCTTGAATATTTTTTTTTTTAATAATTTACTCTATGAAAAATACAGACTTCTCCAAACAAAATCTACAAATCTTTCACTAATTATATCAACTTCAGAATCAAATTTCCAAGTACTTTCCCAATTTCATTACTTCTTTTCCTGTACTATTTATTTCTCGTACTAATTTCGTAGAAATTCTTATAATTGTTCCCCTCTTTATTTTATGTTTTTATTTATTTATTTATTTCCGCATATACTATTTCAGTATCTTTATTCATTGCCGCATTATTATTTATTCTTTTTATATCCCCATATAATATTCATTTCATCATCTCTACATACAACTCTCTATATTTCATATTTCAATATTTCATATAATTCTATTTTTCATCTTATTTTCGCATATACTATTTATCATTATAATATTCCCTATTTCCCAATTTCTACAAAATATCGATTTGTCCATAGTACTTTGCTTATTTATTTATACTTGTAACTCCTATAAATCTACTTGAAAATAAATCAACCTTTTTTGTTTATATAAATTTATCATTATTCTGTACATTTGTTCCTAATAAATTATTTAATTATCAAATTTATCTCAAGATATGCTTATTTATTAATTATCCTTCTATTTACAAAACTTATATCTTATAATACCAAATTCGTGTCATAATATTGCATTATTTAAATTATTTACAATGTTTTTGTTGATTAGAGTTACTTCTGAACCTGTATCTATAATAATAACTTGTATACTGAATCTTGTATGTACCCTTCAATAAACTTTAAAGTATTAGTGTTATTGTTTTTATTTAATTCCCCAGTATCTCTAATAAACTCCCTTGGATGTTCATACTTTGATAAGTAGACAATATTATGCACATAGGAGCGGTCTAAACAAAATTTCTCCCTTCTACATCAACACTTGCTTCCCCCCTATTCTCCTCTGTTCTAACTACATTCACCTGTCTTCTCTCCTCATTTTCCCCCCTATTATATCTTGGATTCCCTTCTCTGTAAACTTCCCTATTTCTCGTCTCCTGTGGATAATTTCCCTGGTTCTGTCTCCAATTATTGCCTCTGTCATTCCCTTGTCTCCAGTTATTCTCTCTATCATTGTTTGGATTCCCTTGTCTACGTTCCCAGTTATATCGTCCGATATCTCTCCTGACATTGTTCAAATTCTCTCCCCTATTTGTAAAATCCCTGCTTCTATTTTGTCTCTCAAATTCTCTTTCCCTATAATTATTCCCTCGATTCACATATCCCTGTCTATTTGCTGTGTTATTCCTATATGTCACTTGCTCTTGTCCATTTCGATTCTGCGTCCCTACACTCCTCTCAATCCTCTGAAGATATCCTGTCAAACTTTCCATCGTCTTTATATTGTGGAGAGCTATTGTTTCTGCCATGTTATGGTTATATTGCCTGGCAATGTATAGGACAATCTCCTCTTCTCGCATAGCCGGTTCTAAATATTGTGCTGTCTGGAATAACTGCATTGCGTACAGATTGTAGTTGGTACTTTTTTCATAATTGAATTTCCCAAAATACAACCGCTCCCTGAAACTAGCCTGTTGGTTTTCTCCCCAAAAATAGTTAATAAACTTGGCCTCAAATTCCTGCACATTATTTATGGAATTTTCATTATTGCAAAACCATAATAATGGCATGCCCACTAACATGTTTCGAATATTCAATTTCATTTCTATTGGATCCCTTACATTCTTTACCTTATTTTTGATGATATCTACAAATATTCTAGGATGTAAGTGATTCAGGTTTCCATCAAACTTTATTCCCCCATCATTATAACTCGGCACCACAGTACTCACTACTCTTGTTTGTCCTAGATTTGATTCCAAACGCTGAATCTCCTCACTTGCATTTTTAAATTTCTCTCTCAATTCCTCAACTTGTCCCTGTAATACTCTATCTCCCTTTTCCGCCTGATTTGCATGCATACCCATTTCCAGTTCCAAATTCTGCAATCCCTTCTTTATATTATTTTTTATAATGGTAATTTTTTCCTCATAATCCTGAGTTTGCCTTTTAACACTTTCTACCTCCCTAACAATCTCTTTATTCTGCTTATTAACTTCTTTGTTTATTTCCATTGGTAAATTCTCTTTAATGGCTGTTCCCAACTCTACAAATCTGCTCCCAATTTCCTGTCCTATTTCCGCTCTAATTATGGCCTTTTCTCTGGATATCTCCTCCTGTACATTCCTCTTAAAATTCTCACTTTCTCCTCTGACCTGTTCTACTTTCTCTTCTAAACCTTGGGTAATTTGTAGCATCTCTTCCCTGACTATCTTCACTTCTTCTTTGATTTCTTCCCTCATTTTAATTAACTCTTCCCTAAGTTCTCCTTTAATATTATTTTCCATTTTGTTCATATCCCCCCTAATATTGTTAATATTACTATCCATTTTGTGCATATCTCCCCTAATATTATGATCCATCTGTTGTAACATCCGCATTATTTGCCTCATATCCATCTGTGTCATCCCTGACTCTCCAACATCTCCTTCCCTACGTCTCTCCTCCTGCACTCTACATTCATCCACACTTTCATCACGTCTATCTCTCACTGTCTCATCCAACTCCTCTCTCAAACTATCTGTTAGACTTCCCTCTCTATCACCTTGTCCTGCTTCTTGTCTGCCTTGCTCTAAATATTGTACTACAAATTCTCCTGATCCTCCTCTGCTTTCTTCATCTACCTGTATACCCTGTTCCTGTTCTAACACCTGTTCTCCTTCACTCTCTTTCGGTACGATTTCTTTTCCATTTCTTAAAGTCATTCGGTCTGCCATTTTATCCTAATCTCTATTTATTCTCAAATTTAACTTTAACTACCCCAGAAT